GGCCAGCCCTGGAGGGCAGCCCCCCACCCGGAGCTGAACCTGCCACCAGCCTTGTCTGTGGTGCCGCGAGTTTCTCTGCCTCGAATGCTCTTGCCGAGCTCGTTGGGCCTGGGCCTCCTGGTGGGCAGGGAGAGGTTCCGCCTAATCGCCACGCTGGAGCCGGGCTCGCCAGGTGCCCGTGTGCATGCAGTGGCAGTGGCTGGCTGGTGGCCAGGCCATGCGCCGGTCCCGTAGGTTGCAGTTCCCCTGCCAACAGGCACGAGTCCCTTCATGTGCCTTGTGCCGGGGTGCGGTGTGGGTCTGGCCGCCAGAGGATCTCGCTGCGCCTGGGCTGAGCGCGGCCGCCACTCGCCCTGCCCGCTGACCCGCTGTGTTCTGTTCGCTCCCCAGGACGACCCCGAGGGAGAAGAGCTGGAGCGGGAGAAGTCCAACTCCTTGAAGCTGGAGTTCACCGAAGACTTGAACTTCAAAACCAAGGTTAACTATTCCTACGCGGCCGTGCAGATCCCTACGGACATCTACAAGGGCTGTGAGTGCCGCTCTCCTCCGCTTCTAGCACTGGCCTGTCTCCTGGGCGGGCCCCGTGGCAAGGCAGAGAGCACCCCCTGGAAATCCCTGCCCACAAGTCCTGATGGAGCCAGGGCATGTCTTTTACAGACACGCACACACCGGGTCTGGACGTAAAGATCCGGAGGTAGGGAAGGAGGGTGGCTGCAAGAGCCACGCTCGGCGAGCTCTCCTCTCCGGGGCTGGCCGTGCAGAAATAACGCACAGCCTGGGACAGCTGGAGTGGGGGCTGGCCGGGCGGATGGAAACGCAGAGCTTCTGAGTCCTGCGTGGACAGCCCGTCCGTGCAATCCGACGGCATGGCCTGTGGAAAACGTAGTGTGCGCCTTTCCTGGGCCCCAAAGCTCCCTAGGGCTGAAAGAGCTTCACCGGTTAAAGGTTAAACTCTGCATGGCGCAGGGCCGGCAGCCCCATGGGGCCAAGAGCCGGCAGCCCTAGGAGCGGTTAACCGGGTAACTGACAGAATTTGTATTGGCTTTTTACCTCCCCAACCTGGGGGGCCCCTCTGCCTCCAGGAGTCACAGGGCCAGGGAGCAGCACTGCCCCAAACCCTCCTGGTCTCTTGGCCCGGGGGGTTCTCCCCTCCACCCCCTGTGACGGGGGAGCTGGCCCTCGGGAGGCCCCTGGGTGCCTCTGCTCCCTCGTTAACCGGGTAACTGACAGAATTTGTATTGGCTTTTTACCTCCCCAACCTGGGGGGCCCCTCTGCCTCCAGGAGTCACAGGGCCAGGGAGCAGCACTGCCCCAAACCCTCCTGGTCTCTTGGCCCGGGGGGTTCTCCCCTCCACCCCCTGTGACGGGGGAGCTGGCCCTCGGGAGGCCCCTGGGTGCCTCTGCTCCCTCCC